CGCAAGGGAAATTTTTTCTTTCGTTGCCTGAGCGACTGTGGTTCTTCCCGAAAAGGATTCTCGTCCATGGAGTTAGTTCGAACGTGTGTGAACGTGCAGAAAGATTCAGTTGTTATTAACTTTCAGGCGTCTTTTTAATATATCATATATTTAATATATGCGTCTGTAAGGGACTCAGCCTCACAGAATCGTTATTCAGAAGATGATAGATAGGAGCTCAGTGATTTAAAGAAGTTTTCAGCTTTTTCGAAACCGGAATGAAGTCAGCACTGCATGCAACTAGTCTTCTACTCAAGAAGAAATTTCCCACCTTTCATGGCACCAGAAGCTTGGTCACCGATTTCGCACTCGCCTGCCAGTGGACTTCGACCAAAGGCAATGCGAATTCGTGACTCTTAATTGCAGAATATATACCGTTGATGAACTTCGTAAAGAACGGATTTGTTTGTGTGTGTTGTTAAACGAAATAAAGTCCAGCAAAGCTTACAACATGGCGAATCCTGACAGTCTCTATGTTACTTCAGTCCAGAGCGTACAGCTGGCATTTGCTTTTCATCGCACGATCGTAATGAACTTCACTTGCAAACATGGCGGCGAGCGAACGGTGGTAGATCTTGTACGCGGCGGCGCTGTGGAAAGGAAGGCGCACGGATTTTGCCCTTATATGCGTCTTTGTTTATTTCCTTTTGTTTCAGTGTACCCCGGTTGCGAAAAGGACGAATTTGCTGTTGATTTGAGTCTGAAAATCGGAAGGGAAACACCTGGGATGCCAAGGGGCAGAGAGGAGTAGAAAATAGAATGGATATGGGAAACAATGTGTGAGAATATGTAGTAGATTCAACTGGCCACTGGCGGGCTGTTGTGAAGTCGGTAATTAACTTTTAGGTGTCTTTACGAGGCGGGAAATTTCTTCAGCTTATCAACCTGCTTTTATAGTCTTCTGCTAGCAGGCATTTTATATCGTTTACGGAATAGTCAACAGTAGAAGTTATGTGAATATGTTGTTCGCAGTGCCTTTGCGATCAAAGAAAGTATTGTCTTCGACCGCTAGCACGGTCAGGTCACTCTGGAACCAACCTCCGTTCTAAATACTCTGGGTCCCTCTATATGAAGTGGATATGTGAGTTAGCAGCTGCAGGTACTCCCATGACAGATTGGAAAGAATTTCACTACGCATGCGTCGCGTTAAAAGGGAACAATGAACAACGCAACACATTGCGCGCCTTTTTGTAGAAGTGCCATCATTGTCCTTGACATTTAAGTCCCCGCCTCACCCCTAGAATCACATACTGTCACCAACATGTGTCAGATTGTGAGGAAATTGGGTTACTTTTCTGTGGCCTTGTTGGATGCGGAAATTTTGAATCGCTTCCCGAGATATGAAACTCTTCAGAAGGTGTCTGAGGAGGTCAGTTGTCTCAAGATTTCAAAACCACGATGGGGAAAGAATTTATGGAACAAAAAGAGACGTTTTAGGCAAAGGCTGCGGTGGTATTTGAAATAGGTCGCTTCCTCCTCAGTTATTTTCATGTCGCCTGGCACGTAATAATTCTACCCATCACATTCGGCGTCGTTAAATAACACGCGTCAGCCACTTTTAACGATCGCTCTGATATCTAAACCATTAATCAGATGAAAAATAAATCACAAGGGCAGAGCTTGATGATAATAGTGGTAAAAATATGTTGTTTACTTACTTTGCCAACCAGAAGAGCCCGTGGCAGGTAAACACTGAATATTAAACGTGAACAAATCAAATCGAAATTAAACTAAATCACACGCTCAAATATACTCAAAAGGAAATAATGTTTTCACTAAAAATGCCCAGAGATCTGTATGCGTCATTTGCAGCAATGGCGCACTCAGCTGAGTGATATTGGCTCAGTGCTGCTCACGCTGAAAATATAAATTTCTCTTTTATTTATCTTGTGAGCACACTAATACGAACAGTGGTCGTATTGGAATGAAATTTCCTCTTAAAATATTAATAAGAAATAAAACATCGCCATACTGTCGTCTGCAACAGATCAAATCATAATTACGTAAAATCTCAGAGATAAACGACAGTGACACAAATTGGGAAATTTTCGTTATATATTTTCTAATCGATTGGAGTCGGTCAGTGCAGTATTTCATACGACCTGGCCATGCTCTAGCTTTAACCTAATTAAAGTGTTATGTAAAACAAGTAGAAAACTACCCGTCAAGAATTACGGGAAAATAGAAACGGCACTTAACAAATTTTTATTTAAAAGTGTATCAAAGAAGCATATTACAAACTAAAGCCATTACTTATCTTTGCGTAATTAAAGAATATAATACGATTTGATGTAATGTAGTGGTTACAGTGATAATGGG